GTTAACTGTCAGTGGAAATGCTCCACTGGAAGCTGGGTAAATGGATTTAAAGCCAGGAAGGCAGTGGGAGCTGGATGCATGATTAGTGTCATCAGATGGAAGTTGCATTTGTAGCATCTCAAACACAAAGAGACAATGCAGAGAACTCCTTAGAGAATAAGCTTAGTTTTCTCATTTCTGAGTTATTTGAGGTCACCTCACCAGTGTTCCTATGCATTAGAGAAAACCAGCTAATTCTCCCCCAAAGTCTCCTGGGTTGACATCACTTTCACTCTTAACTCGGAGAGTTCTGAAACTTGATATCAGCTTGCTTTGAGTGTGCATCTCCCCCAGGGTCAAGTCGTAGTAACTGGTTAAAGAGGGTGAAGTCTAAAACCAGGGATTCTGGTTACTCATTGGCAATGGGACTATAACTGCTGTACGGTCCAGAATACTTGTATTGGTACAGCTGGTGCCAAAATATGATCAGAAGATTGCTTGCTAAACATGGGGCCTAGACAGGGACATTCCTGAGGTTAGAGGACTCAGCTTGCCTTGATAATATCAAGCTATATAGAAGACTGTAGTTCACTGAAGGGGCTCTTGCTTTTCAGGTGAGTAGTATTTGAAGCCTGTAGGCTGTACTTCCTGTCTGCATGATAGCCACAAAAGGCACCCATTACTAAGGGCATCTGCAGTTTTTACTTGATGGAGTCCCTATCACTCTTCCTTATCTCCTCACCATGGAGGACAAGTGTCCGTTCCACTCCTGGAAACCAAAGATGTAAATGGTGGAGTGCAGAATATCTTCCATCTGTGTCCTTTACTTATGTACTTCATCTGCTGAATCCTGAGGTCGTAGGAGTTTACAGCTCCTCTCTGAAGGTTAATCTCATTTCCAGGTTACCTGTGGGTGTGGAGGGCCCCCACTATAGTAGCCCTGTACTAACAAAAGTGGATCTGGACTAGGTGGCTTACAACCAGAAGAAGATAGATAGAAAAGCCCCAGCAAAGATTAAACTAAGTGAGATTAGTCTCTACAATTACCAAGACAGCCAGCTGCTTTGACTTGCAAATCATTTTGTAGGTTGGCTTCTTGGATGGAAAAGCTTTGTAATTATAGCCTGTAGAAGCAGTAGACCAGGAAGATGAAAAAACTTACATGGGGTTGTAGGAGAGAAGAACTAATTTTCCTTCTACCCTTCTGAGTCCTTAGCTGAGACTCCTGTAATAAAAGACCAAATACTAAGAAAAACAGAAGTTTATTAGCACATATACCTCATGGATACATGGGAGATGCCAAGGGAAGAAAGTAACTCTCTGAAAATCTGTGGAATTCAGGATTAAATATCATCCCCATAGGGAAAGGGGAACAGGGATGTAGGCCTCTTAGGGGAGAGTAAATGATTTCTAGGAAAGATTGAGTGCTACCCTTAGAAAAACCGATGGGTAATATGATAGTTTGTGATAAAATCTGTCCTGGGTGCGGTCTGTTCCAATCTCCTCTCCTGTGACAAGTGTCCCTCTTCTCTAGTAGATGGAAATCTCAGAGGGGGGACTTAATGAGTTCCTTTTAGAGGATCTGTTTTTAGGCAGATGAGGGGGGTTCAGACAAAGCCTTTGCTCACATTTGCTGTTTTTCAGATACCTTCAGTTCAAAATAATCAAAATCTTGAAGTGGCATATTTTGGGGTGGAATGTCCTGCTTCCTTCAGCATGATGTAGATTAGAGTACTTCTGGTCATTGGCACACCACTGATACTATATTCATAGGGATCCCAGCCTTGGGCTGGGTATTGATTTACCAACAAGATATAAGACCTTATAAAGCTGCTTGCTTGAATCAGAGAGAAAAGCCTGTACATCTCTTCCTGTGTTCTTTCCCAAGAATCCATTGCTTTCCATCCCATAGTTCCTCGTCAGGCTATCGGCTTTAAATTAGGTGTCAGGATGGCTGCATGAGAACCAGTTAGAGAACTGTGTAAAACAAAAACTCCACCGTACATTCCCATTCCTGTGATGCTGTTAAAAACATACACACATACCTACAGTTGCATAGACCTGTTATTATCATTGTCCTGAATAAAAACTTTTGATAATTTCCCATGGGATGCATCTAGTAATCTCCTACTAGTAAGTTTCCTGAGGGTGAATTCTATAAATTCCTCATCCTGAAAACAATACAGAGCCTTTCATAAAATAGACCATGTGTCCATATTTAGTGAGTTTCATACCATGAATGAGAAAAAAAAGCTTTGGTAAAGTTGAGTTTCTCTTTTACACATCCATTCTGGTATGGATGGCTACATTTACTCAGTTTCTATAAGCTCAGAGGGTCTTTTATTTTTCACAGTGTAGTAGGAGAAGTAATTACAATTTTCCATTTTTAAGAGTTTATTATGATTCAGGCACTAGAATAAGAGATTTGCATACACTGTTCCATTTAGTTCTTTCGATAGTTCCATGAGGTGGGTGAAGATCTCTCCAAGTTGCAGTTAGTAAACTAGGAGTCTGGAATTTTAAGAGATTTACCCAGTCATAAGTAGGCCTTCAATATTGGAGCTGGAATTTAAACCCAGATTTGTTTAACCTGTGCTCAGTGAAGTTACTGTTTTTATCTTTCCTGATTTTTGTCATGCTTTGTTTGTTATTGTGCTTGGCTATTGAATATCACTATATTAAAAAATGGCAGGGAGCACCTCGGTGGCACAGTTGGTTAAGCATCAAACTCTTGGTTTTGTCTTAGGTTGTGATCTTAGGGTCCTGAGATTGAGCCCGACGTCAGGCTCCATGCTCAGTGCAGAGTCTACTTGAGATCTCTCTTCTTCTCCCTCTGTCCCTCCCCTCCCCACGCACTCACTCATGTGCTCCGTCTCTCTCAAATAGATAAATCTTAAAAACAGTAAAAGGTCATTTCCATTTCTTAACAGCTTCTCAAAAGAAGAACAGAATTTTCTAAGAGTTTGGTAAAACATGCATCTTCCCCTTCTTTCCTGGCAGATTTTGTACAATAAAATGATAGCTTTTTCTTTTAACCATAATTATAGAAAAATGTGAATCCAAGATAGGAAAGTTGGGAGGGCACTGGTAAGAGAATGCCTGGTGAGTTTGGGAATGTGACGTGCTTTCTCTGTAGCTTATAGAATGTTGGAAGCTGCTGTGCTCCCACTGGCTTTCTTTCTCACATGTCCCCAAAGGGTGAGAAATGAGAAGCCTTGTTTCTCTCTTTTTTTAAAAATGTCCCTGTAAATTATAACACCCTGCTTAGGAAAGTCACTGGGTAAATCATGGTGGGGAGAATTCTATTTGCTAACTTCTGGGAAATCGCAGAGTATCAGTTAGTGGTCAGCACATTGAATCCAGGCCCCCTACGCTGTTGTCATAATGTTCTTAGCCAGTATGAAGAATCTCGTAGTGATGATGAAATGTCATGATCAGAGCACAAAGACATCTGGGTATATATCTCTCTAATATGTAGTGGAGATATAGATGGATATAATAAAAAGCACCACTGTGTAGTCTTTATTCTTGGTGCCACTAAGAAAACCTGTTCTCTTACAGAATTGAAACTAGGAGAAATTTTTTTTAGCCAGAGGAATGCTCTTTTTAAATCTATCTCTTTGCTACGACAAAGTTGCTGATGGATACCTATGTTGGTAGCATTTGTGAATTTTGCATTGGGAAGAACGATCCCGTGCAGTCAACTCCTAGAGAATAGGGACCATGTCCTAAATATTTCTTGTATCTCTAATACTGAGCCTAGAAATGGCACACAGTAGGTGTTTGCCACTTGCCTCGATTTTACAGCAGGCTGACCAACTCTTTGAGCTACTGTTACTGTATATAGCTGTGCTGTTGATCCACTCGCAGGCTCTCTGAATACTCTGTATGACCACATGACCAACCCACAGGCCCTGTCTGCACCTCTAGTTCTGATTTGTTAAACAAATATTGGTTGCCAGTTAAGACACAGACCATGACTAGGATGATGGGAGAGAAAATGTTTATTCAAGTTGTTGAAGTTTTTGGATGATGGGGTTAAAATTCAGACTGATCTTGAATATAGTAGACACAAATTAGCAGAATTAAGACCATTAGAGAGATATAACTTCTGGAAAACTAAATATAACATGGGGACTGTATATATGTGAGTTTGGTGGCAGGGAGAGGAGGGACCCATTATGAGTCAGCAACATACTGTTTTATCTTCTTAATTATTGGGCACACATTGCCAGTTACCCATAGAAGCATAACATGTGGGAACTGCTGGATAACATTTCCAAAATACTTAGCATTAGTCAGAATTTTTTTTTTTTTTTTTTAGAATTCTGTGTCCACTCTGGCTGAAAAAAAAATGTGGAGAATTTGTCAGGGGTCCAGAGCATGGCAACTATATGCAGAGGAGCACTGGAAAATAGGACCCACCGAGAGAGGTTAATAAATAAGGATTAATTATTTAGCGTGATCCAAAGCAGCTAATGGGTGATTAAATTAATGGTCTTCTGGTGCATGTAGGGTTATTATGTAGAAGATGGTATTATTATTTCCACTGTGAATAGAATTAGGGAAATGGATTTACATTAGCGTTAAAGGAGATTTTGAAGGAGCATAAAGAACTTGGTGACTTTAAGGATTGTTGGACAGGGGAAAGATCTCTCAACTGGAAATGTGAAACCATGTTTCTTACAGAATAGAAATGGAACTGGGTACTGCTCACCAGTACTGTTAGGTGCAATTGGGGTAGAGACCTACAAACTTTCTAGGGAACATTTCATGCTATTCATCTCACATTTTATTTGACATTTTCAGTGAGTACATCAGTATTCCCTTGTTTGCATTTTTCACAGTTAATACAAACGTGAAGACCTTGCTTTTAATGGTTCTGCAGTGTGTTTCAAACATGGGAGAGAGTTTAAACTACAAATTGAAAATTACTCCACTTGCAAATCAACTTGCTGCGTACTCTTATAGGAGCCTCACTATATTGTCAACTCAGCTTGCCTTCTCTTTCTCTTCTTTAGAAAACTCACTGTGTGCCCTCCTCTGTTGTTCTACAATGAGTGCCAAGTCTGCCATCAGCAAGGAAATTTTTGCACCACTTGATGAAAGGATGCTGGGAGCCGTCCAAGTAAAGAGGAGGACAAAGAAAAAGATTCCTTTCTTGGCAACTGGGGGTCAAGGAGAATATTTAACATATATCTGCCTGTCAGGTAATGAAAACCAGACAATAATATTAAAACACGTTCATCTTAAAATATTTTATTCTAAAGTATCTGAGAGGGTCATATGCCCAGTGTTTTGTACACATCTGCTCTTCCATTTCAGTTTCCTGTTTTTCTGTTGTCTTTTCTGATACTTATTTGCCGGTGGCACCTTTACTTTTGAGGTTGCTTTCTATGGGAAAAGTAATGAAGTTCAATTTTAAATGTATTTTCCAGTTCATCGAGTGCTTCTGCTGAGGGTTTGACAGACACATTTGTTCATCCATGCTTTCCTTCACTAAAACATTGGCAGAAATTGGGTTCTCCTTTAGGATTTTTGCTTTAGCATAATTCCTGAGAGTTGGTAATTGTCATTACTAGCAGCCTGGGTTTCATTGGCTTTCTTTTTCTTTAACAGTTACCAGTAATCAGTAATAGTTTGTCTCAAGATAACTATCGACACCTTATGGAATGTGAGAAAGTAGACACAGCTCCCAAATCATCGCTTTGCCTGACAGCTGTTCCTTGTCAGAAAGAGGCATCTGTTCTATTAAGCTTAGAATTTTGTTGGATTATTTTTTTCTCTTTCTGCTTGTGATTGTAGATCTGTGGGATTTACTGTGGATCCATACCTAGTTTTTGAGATAAAATTTGGATAAGTTTTCCATGGAGTTGTGGTGATGCTAATCTGAATACCTGGGGCATTTGTAACAAATCTGGTAATATTTCTTGTAACTGGACAATGTAAGAATTAAGCTTACCTTAATTCATCTTTTCTTATTTCCTTCAGTTGTGGTTTGGGAATAAAACTTTATTTTTTGACCCATTTTTAGATTAAAAAAATAAACTTCTGATCATTTATCAGAATTCATTTCAGTGTGTAGATAGGTTTTTTTCCAGAAAGAATATGTGAAGATCAAAACAAAAGAATATGTACAGATAATGATAAGACTATTTCTTAGTTTATAATAATAACCTTTTGGTAAGAACGTCTTTTCAGTGGTTAGGATAAAGCTCTTATTTAAATGAGTGTGAGAGAATTGACCTTGAAATATTGGTCTTAAAAAAAAAAGAAATATTGGTCTTTTTTTCTGAATTCCAAATAAGGAATAGATTAGTAAAATATGGTGATTATTGGAGGACATTTGCATTCCCTTAGTGTGCTGGGCAGTGCACACTAAGTGCACACTATGTGCTTAGCATATAGTAGGGACTCGGTTAATATCTAATGACTAAGTGAAAGAAATTACCTAATTACCTTCCTAGTACTTTGTTAATGAGATGCAGGTCTTAGAAATATTTTCATGTTCTTAAATTTTGATTCTAGAGTTCTGCTTGCACCAATAATGAAAAGAATGCATTACAGTAAATTTTTTTGTGTTTGGGCGGAGCTGAACATGAGCTGAGTATGGACACACAGTGATTCTAATATTATTACTTTTCATTCAATCTGTGTTTCCTCAAGACTTCTTGAAGATGGGGAGTTGAAGAAAAGGTGGATGTTCTAGAAGTCCTTAGAGTTTTGCCTGGTACATCCCTCTAACTGAAAAAGATGGCAGTTCTGTTTGCATGTGAGGCATATGCTCCTGTCAGCCTGTTTCTGATCGTGAAGTCTGCAGGAGGGAGAGAGGGACTCTGCCTGCCTATCTCAGTGAAATAGCAGACCCATTTCCCCTGCCATAGGAGACCCTGACCTGGACTCCTCCAATCACTGCCTTTCCCTTACAGATTACCAAGACTTGAGGTTTAAAGTTTGAAACTATGAGAACTACATTTTCAGAATTCCATTCTGATGGAGGAAAATATTTTATTCTGATAGTCTTTCTTCTTTTCATGAATTTGAGTTTTGAGAGGATAGGTTGATCCAGTTGATGTGACATTGAAGCAGATGGTTTAATGGAAGTTGAGGCAGGAGAAGGCCAGGCCACCTTTGACATCCAAGTGTTTTGCAGTTTTCTTCTCATTGAGAAGGGAGCAGCCTCTTTATCTTCCAATTAATGTGAAGCTTAGAGGCATATCGGTCACATCTTTGATAAAGTAATGTTTTAATTAACAAGTAATTAAAGACTCATATTTATTAAGTACTTTTGTATGTGCTAAGCACTCTAGGTATGGGGCAGACAGGAGAAAAATTCATGAAGCTTACTTGGATGGGCTAGGAGCAGTAGACATTAATCAGCTAGTCACTAAAATAAATATGATTATTATCTGTGGAAAGGCCAAAAAGGAAAAAAATACAGTGATAGGATAGCATGTATGAGGAGAATTTGGCCTGGCTGGAAGAACCCAGAGCTACGAGAAAAGTAGAGCCTCCCTGGTTCTGAAAAGAGATGGTACATGTGCCACGAGCATTCCTGACAGAGGGAACAGGAGCCTCATTAAAACTACACTGGATTTTGAGTTTCTCCTTTTCTCCTATTCAGTATAAGGATGACCTCTTTGTAGCTCCACTCACATAGGAGGCTGTGAAGTGAAAGCAGAGCCCTGGAATGACAGCGTCCTTCCTGCTATTATTGTGAACCACCTACACTCTCTGGGAGGCCAGGCTCTTCAACTCTTGTGGTTTGGTTGATGAAAACCAGCTATCCATTTTCAACAGGCAAAATTTGTTCAAATTAGGGCAATGTCTGCACATAGTACTTAACCGTTTTTCAAACAGCATAAGGAGTTTAAAAAAATTTTTTTAGGAAGAATATTCTAGCTTTAAAAGCTTACCAACATATGCATGTAAACATCATGGGTATTTTATATATCCAATATCTTACTGACTTTTTTTGTGTGTGAATTCCACCTCCGCCCCCCGCCACCCAATGCCTGGCAGGATTTAAATCTGAGGTTGAGGCCTGTGATCATAAGAATTATTATTTTTGGAGAGAATTACATATCTTCTGGAGGAATCAAGAAAGATGCCAGAGCAGGAGAAATAATATGATCTTTTTTGGGTTATGTAGCTGTGATTGTGTAAGGAGAAAAATAATCTCTCCAGACTAATGTGCTTTGGTTGACTTGCATTCTTAAAGCCTGGTTTCCACTTTTTCTTTGTGGCAGTGGCTAAAATTAAAAAGGCTGACGATACCAAGTGTTAGCAAGCCTGTGGAGCGACTTGAGCTCTCATACTTTGCTGGTGGGAATGTAAAAATCATACAACTGCTTTGGTCAACCATTGGCAGTTCTTTGTAAATTCAAACATATACTTCTGACTCAGAGACTCTATTCCTAAGCATTTAGCTGAGAGAAGTAAAAAGATGTCCACAAAAAAACACGTACATGGAGGATGATAACAGTCTTATTTATAATAACCAATAATCAGATCTCAAATGTCCATCTACATGTGCATGAATTTTCAAACTATATTTTATTTATGCAGTGGAATACTAAGGAATGAATTGCCACTGCATGCAGCAATATGGATTACTCAAAAGCCTTACATTCTATGAAAAAAAAAACAGAAAAGATTACATGCTGTATGATTCTATTTATATGAAATTCTAGAATGAACAGAACTTAAGCTGTAGTGATAGAAAGCCTATTGGTGGTCGACAGGTTTGGGGTTAGGAATTGACTGTAAAAGGGCATAAGGGAATTTTTTGCAATGGTATAAGAATTCTATAGGCTGATAGTGGTGGTGGTTACTTGGGTATAGACATTTTTCACCTCCTCAAACTGCACACTAAAAATGGGTACATTTTATTTTATGTAAATATGTCAGCCAAGTCAATTAAAAAAAAAACCCAACTCTTACAAAGTCAGTTGTTGGATGATTATAAGAGTTTATTGACCTTATCTCTAGCCTGTTCTCTAAGGAGGACAAAAACTCTGTCCTTTGTACAAATGAAAAGTTATCCTAGATGGCCTTGTTGAGCCTTCAGAAGCAGGTGTGTATTGTGTAAACCTGTGCTTGCATCTATCTGATGTAAAGGTCAGTGCCTTCTGGGTTCCTTCTAACACCTGGCACATTGCCAAGTACGGACACACTATCCACTGTGCTTAAGTAGAAAATACTCTAAATTTGTGGCTGACTACATACCTGAATATACTTTAGAATTTGGAATTTGGAACTCTTCACTCATTCAAAGTATAAAGTGAGCCCCAAGCTCAATAATTTCCATAGCTGGATGCCCCTTCCATGATACTTGGATCTACAAAACTAAACTGGAAGCATACTAAGAAGTTGAAAATCAGCTTATGATTAAAGGCCAGTTACCTACTGAATATTCCATAGTTCCATGCTTAAAATCTATTTTCCTGATCATGTTTTAATTCAGTATATGCAATGTCTAATGCTAGCCTTCATATCCATAAGTGGGTACAAATCTTTCCTCGACTGTTACTCACTACTTACTGTCCCCATAAAAAGGAACATGAAGAAATTTTAATTTTTGTGATTAATACATTCTTTTACATATTTTGTTGAACCAAAATTTTAATCCTTTGAAAATGATTTGAGATTTTTAGAGAGCAAAATTTTCTTCTTTAAAAAAAATAGCTCTGAATGGTCTTTGATGAAATAGTATATGTAAATGGATCCCCATGGAAGGCAGTGATGTGGGATGGGAGCCTAGAACCTGACAATACTGCCCTTTATCTCAGTGGTTGCCAGTCCTAGATGTTCCTTAGAATCACCTCAAAAACTTTGCAAAATCCAGATCTAGGTGCTACTACCACAGCCCCAGGGGTAGTGGTAAAACTTACCGTATTTTGAAAGTATTGTGCTGAAGATGCTGAAGCTGGGGTTGAGAAGTTTTGTTATGTTGGGGGGTTGTTGTCTTGGTCTGCTTGACATAACGATACATTCTTGGTACTCCATTCTATCCAAAAAATACTTCTTAGTCTCTTTCATGTTGACTGGCCATGGTCAAAGCTCTGAATTTTTCTGGGCTTCAGTTTATTCACCTGACAAATTTAGAGGTTCCTTTGGGTTCTGAGTTCAAGGATTCTGAACTCCTTGAAGTTTTATGCCAAATCTTTTTCTCACTCCATACATGTCATTTAGGGAGAAGCTCAGGCTG